GCTTTATCATTACAAGCTTTCTTTCTACTAACTTAGCTTCACATGAATAAGAGAACTTATTCTTTGTGGGTTTGCATATAATAATCTAAGCCACATTTAGAGTACTACACAAATATGTATTTAGTAGATTTTGGGTTTAGAAGCTTTAGTCCAACATCGGCTTCAAATCCATAAAACATTAAGTAAGATGAGGATAGAACACTTCCATACTAAATCTTATAAAGTGTTTAATCTACTTATAAGTTGGTATTTATATTCAAGATACAACTAATAGTGATTGAAGTATCATCCCAAAAAGATTAAAGGAGGATATTTCTACCGATTAGAAAGTAAATCATACCAAGTAAGATTTAATTAATCCTTTATTATCATTAAGGCCTTAGATGGTTCTTATCGGTTTGTATCTCAACTTTTGAAACCTTCAACAAAGATTTCACAATTATGCTTTACCATGTAAAATATAATTAAAACTATTATAGTTGTTACTAAAGTTGATTTGGTATCTTGTGCTTAATCTCAGACATTCATTAGAAAGGAAGTCATACACCAAAGTGTATAGTTCCTTAATTATTTTCTCTACACCTTAGCGAAAATATCATTAGGAATCCTTTACATATAAATAAGGTTCACATGAGTCAAATAAACTACATTATTTTCCTTCTAATATCAATTTCTTAAAGTTAGAATATGTGAATGCCATTTATATACAATAAAGATAACAATGTCAAAGATGAGTTTGTTTTAAAACAAGTTTAAGTCAAAAGTGCTTGTATAGAACTTGATTTTATTTATAAAATGTTGATATTTACTTTACAATTCTATTAAGAGATCTAGTCTCATAAATGGAAGTTAATTATTTCAAAATATGAATATTATCGCTATGAAACATGATTGAGTAAATTATCAAACATTTGAATAAAATAACTTAGACATAAATTTAGACACGGTAAATTATAATATACGTTGTTCCAAAACAAATATTGTTTTACATTACAAGTAATTTACGTTCTAAGCATAAATAATAAACTAAACTCCGAGAGTGTAGTTCCAACTTGGTTGTGCTAAGCTGGTTACTCTTCAATAAATATTTGCAAACCATTTACAAATCTTAGATTAACGTTTAAGTACCAAGTACCTAAGTGTTACAGGAAAATTATGATTTCTATATAATAGATACTTGAAGTATTAGTCTTTTCCAGACTTTCTTTCCAAATAAGAGGAGTAAATCCTCTTCCAATGTCTAGTTTCTTCACAAAAAGAAACAAGAACCATCTATATGGGATTTTGTAGATTTCTTGGGCTTAAAGGTGTTCAGTCCATAAAACATGGGCCTCTTAGATCGCACTAGGTGACTCTTTTAGCTTTGCATTATTTCAATGCTTAAACTAGCTTTAAATCAGATATGATTGTATTTATTGGAATATTGTTTGACTTGTTTTATCATCAGATATATGTTTAAATTATCCAAGACTTCCTAGAAGTCAAAAATAACTATTCCTAGCTTGATGTTAGAAGCGTCTTTAGTAGCACAATGATGCCTTTACTAGGTATCATGTTTACGTTTATTGCTCAAATCAAATAGTTTAGGACGAGGTCCTTTAAGTGCATACAATTTCATATCTTTCACGAGATTGTCTCTTAAGATATGAACGCATTCATTGAAGTTGTATCTGTTGAATGTTATTGTTTCATTAAGTCATTAAAGAAAATGAAAATTCTTGATAATGAGAATGGATTATTTAACTAAAAGATTTTTAAAAAAAAATTATATAGTATTTTCAATATTTAATCTTCAATAATTAATACCCTTTTATTTTCCAAAAAACATTAATTATCAAAGTCTAGGTCCAAGTTGCAAAACAAATAAATGGTTAGGTATCCTTTATCCCATCCATTTGAATTCAACCCGGTAGATATTGATTATCAATTATATCTCACTATATAATTCCTAAATTTATAGGATCGCTAATAACAAATTTAATTAGACATGTTTGATTCCATATATGCCTTAAAACTCTCTTGCTTAGGTATTATTTATCATAAAAGATTTCCGATCAATTCATCCAATTTAAAAAACTTGTGTAATTGGCAAAAAATTTGGTTATAGAAATCGCGAAGACACCCAACCATAAAAAGACAACACTAAGCGGTTAGGTATCCTTTATCCTGCTAGTGCATACAAGAGATGTGCGAGTGTTTTTCAAAAGGATTGCATAGATTTGAGGTTTGAAAAAAATGGTCTGTATATGTTTTGTAATTCTAGTTTAATAACATATGATATCATGGTTATTACATGCATATAATGAAATATGGTATCAATTTTCAAAAGAAAATCATTTTTAAAGGTTCTATATAAAAACCTAGTTTTTATATAATTTGATGCAATTCAATTTTAATAACCAGTATTAATTTTGAGTGCATTTGTACATTTTATATCTTTAATAAAACTTCATTTTATTACTTATATATTTGGAGTTTGTATAAGTTACAAAAATCACAATCTTAAAACTTATAATGGAGTATTTCAAAATTTGCAGTTATTAACGATTTTATAAAACCAGGTTTTATTTTTAAAATAATAACTTGTTACATCTTATGTTCAATTTTGAAAACACAAACTCCATGTGATGTTTATTTTGTCCAAAATTATTTTAGCCTGTGAAAAACTAATTATCAACAACACATAATAATTGCATAAAATAAACAAAACAAACATATATAAAAAGATATGTGCATAAATATAACCAACTAATGATATTTTTTATGAGCCAACACAAAAAATGCCAAGTCTATTCCTAAAGGGAAATTTAAGGGGACCAAAAATCTTCTTGTAATGTTGTTGTAGAAGCTCCCACATGAGTAAACATCCATTGCTTGAAAAAGATTGGAAATACATCTTGAATACTAAAATTCAACAACTACAGCTAAAAGTCCAAAAGCCCTTTGTAAACAACATTACTGACACATTTCCGAAAATGTTACTGAAAATCCTGCACACCTTTTAGACTCGAAAATTGCTCTTTTGTCTTCAAAAAATGCCTCCAACTTCATTTCTTGTTACATATTTGTACAAATAAATTATTTCTAAAAACTAATCTATTACTTTACAAAAATAAAAAATAAAAACTAATCTATTTGATTATTACATACCTTATAAATATATAAATTATTACAACTATTTTATAATAAAAACAACGAACACAACAACACAACAATCATAATGGTCATTGGCTAGTTTATGCATATAATATACATCAACATACATATAAAACAACCTTTGTTTTTCTAAGACAACTTTAAATGAAAAAAGATGCATGGAAATTTTGTCACATAAAATAACAAATATAAAGTTGTCATAAAAAAATATGTATGAACTTATTTTATACAAAGACAAGTTATCCATATTCTCCGAAAACTAAGATTTCCAAAAATCAAAAAATCTAACTAAACTTGCAAGGTGGCTTTGATACCAATTGTTGGGTTCTAATTCAAAAATAGTTTCATAAACTAGAAAATTATGGCAACAGAAGACTTAAAATTTTGAACATAACTTAACATTTTATACCCACTAAGGATCTCCTTGCAAGTTATAGAAAGATTAAAGCACCAACCATAGAAATAATGAAGAAATAACAACCTTTGTTGTTCTTTGGATCCTCTTGTGAGGCTTGGAAGTTGAAGAAGAATGTAGAACTTTTGAGACACCAACAATGACTTAACAAGATTAAAAAGGTTCCTAATAAAACAAAATGTTTTTGCTTGAAAGTTAGCTCTAGCTAAACTCCCTACTAGGGTCATCCTAGATAGGAGGGGCTTGGATATGTTGTATTTACTATGTCATCTTTGTGGAGATGTTATCGAAAATTCCTCTCATATATTTTTGGTTGTTCTTTTGCGGATAGCATTATTTCTCAAGTGATTGTTGGTGGGGTATTTTGGTTCCTGGTTTAACGTCTTATGTAGATTGTTTGGATTGGTTCAAGACACTATTCCTTTCTTCTTTTACTAAACACATTTTCGAAAGTGTTGTGGCTTGGTGGGCTTTTTGGTACTTCAGAAATTCTCAGAATTTTGGAGGGACAAAACCGAAATTGGCTCTTATTTTTAGTAGTATATTCATTAAACCATTCTTTTGGTGTCATGCTAGGTGTAAGAAAAAAAACATTAATTGGGTAGTTTGGCTTCAAGACACGATCCTTACTATTATGTGATTTTTTTCCCCGACTACTTTCTTGATAGTCCAAGTTCTTTGAAAAAATGTTGCCATTAAAAAAAATGATGGATTTTGTGCTACGAAATGAATCGATGAACTAAGGATGTTTCCAATACTAATAGCTACTCTCGTTGAAGCAATTGTAGCAACTCCGACTCCTAAGTTTTACTTTTGTCACTTATGTGACCTAATTGAGAAAAAAATTAAGATTGATATAAATGTTTTTTTTGAAATTAAGGTAACCTATGGTTTCCATTATTCCAATTTTTAGTAAGATTGTTTAAAAAGTTGTATCTCCTTAAAATATTCACTACTAGAAAAACAGCCTTTTACGACGCTCATTGCGCATCGTAAAAGGCTCAGACGACGCGCAAATGCGCGTCAAGGAAGACCCTGTCATAAAGAGAGAGACGACGTGCATTTACGACGCTCATTTATGACGCGCATTTACGACACGCAATGCGTATCAAGGAAGGCCCTGTCATAAAGGAAGACGACACGCATTCGCGTGTCGTAACCTTACGACGCGTGTGTTAATGACACGCAATGCGTATCAAAAAAGCCCCCGTGAAGAAAGGGCATGTCATAAATGAAGATGACACACATTTTTGTGTATCAAAATTTTAAATGTTTAAAAAAAAGATTATTTATAGATTTAATTATTTTCAAATTAAAATTGTATTTAATGTTTCATAATAGAAAATAAAATATCATATACAAAAAATAGAATCCATTGCATAAATTTAATGTCATATAATTCTATTTCTTACAATATATAAATTTGCATCTAATCTACTATGTACATCAAGTTCCAACTAAGTAAAGTTGCATCTTGCCTTTCATGATTCTTTAAAACTAATGTTCCAAACAGCTGATTATATGGATATGCAATTGTACATTGGCCCATCTCACTCAATAATGACTTAGCCAAATTCAACTCCAAGTCTTTACTGCATCTTGCTGATAATGCTGCAAGATTTAAATCAAGTGGCTTCATATTCCTTTCTTCCATCAACTTTACCTAATGCACAAAATACACAGAAACAAAAAAAACATTGTAGAGGAAGGGGTAATTTGTGGAAATGTGAGGGGTATAATATAAAAAAAATGCAAATACTTAATACCACTTTCATGCCATCATGGAAACCTGTTGTGCATTACATAAAGGCCCTACACCAACACAAGGCTTTTGTTTGATTATGATCCTCAACTGTTAAACCAAATACGAAAAACATGTCAGAAGAATAAAACTAGATGTAGATGAAACTTTAAAAGAGGTTGATCCATCACATTACATAAAGGCCCTCCCCTACCTTAAGCAATATTTGTAGAAAAAGTACTTCTTCTGGGCTAAAGTTTCCTACATAAACGGTTGTGTACTGATTACTCTTAATTTGAGAAATTTTTCAGAGACAAGTCCATCGTTTTCAGCCATTGACAATTCCTGGACAACTTTTTCAAGTCCTTTGCTAATAGCTTGCATTTCCTCTGCCAAATATTTTAATTGTACCTGAAAAATAATAAATAATCAATAAATTCTTAATTATATTTACACATGTTTTAAATTTCTAAATATTTGAATAAGATTCATTGTGATCACCACCCTTGATGCAGGTTCCAAACTGTCAAGATCCTTGGAGAAATCAAGGAGTTCAGGTAGTTTGTCAACAAGCACCTAAAATTAATTAATTATCCACAACATTATCTTGCTATTTTAAAATTTAATTATTTTCCATACAACATATTAATCAAATCAACCCAATTTGAACCCAACAGCAGAAGGCTATCCAATCTGAACCAAACAGTAGCGCCTAAAATGACACCAGATTAATCAAAGTCAAAGTCAAAGTCAAAATAAACTATAACAAAATATTATTATATTTAATAACATAAAATAAACAATGAAAATGTTGACCTTTTGTTGTTCCTTGGTTCAGAGCATTTCCAAGTGTGACAATTGTTTGCATTACTCTCTTGAACTTACAGGAACTTCTGACCTGATAAAAGTTTAGTTAGATTAAATTGTTGGATTCGTGAATTGAATCATAACTATGCTACTGTTATAGCAAGAAATGGTTATCTGGGTGCTATAGTTGAAGGATGCTTCTCTAGATGAAAGGTAATTTAGAGGGTCGAAGGAATCTGCTTTTTTATTACAAGACCAAAATACCCTCGTTTATATATATATATATATATATATATATATATATATATATATATATATATATATATATATATATATATATATATACACACACACACAATACATTGAAATAAAATTTTCTTTTTTAGTGGTGAGGGCAGGGGGCTTGAACCAAAGTTATCTGGACAAAATGTTGGTGGGCCTCCTAGTTATGAAGATGCTGTGAGTGACGGTCATAGCCCTGTTGATACCAAGAGGTAAATTAATTAATTAATAAGTCAAAAGATTTATTTACTTGTAAATTGTAATATATATATATATATATATATATATATATATATATATATATATATATATATATATATATATATAATAATGGAATCTAGTCTAACTTGTAAGCATTTGAAGGACTGGTGAACATTAACCATCAAGAAATTCCGGCAGCAGCTACTCCACCACCACCAGCTGCCGCAGCCACACCACCTCCAGTTACCACTACGCCGCCACCACCTGTAGTGACAGTCAACAATGAAAACGATGGGTTTGACTTTTTTGATCCCCGTGGTGCGGCTCCTACTCCTTCCCTTGCGTTTGCCCCGCAAGGATCAGGTAGTGGAGAGATGGATGATTTGTTTGGTTCTCTATCAGAGTCTTTCTTTTCTTCATATGCTTTGGCTCTTGTAACATCTACTTCATCTATAACCACTGAAGTTCATCCTCCAGCAAATACTAATCCTTATCTCACCTTCAATACCTCATCGACAAGTCGGGTGCGTGAGTGTCTTAAAAGCTGGATTCTACACACATATGTTGATAGTTTGTTTATATTGTAAATTTACACTCTTTATGCATTGATTGCAGGCATTTGATGATCCGTTTGGTGATTTTCCTTTCAAATCTGTTCCTTCTACTGATGGATTTTCGGCTTAACCACCAACATCACCCTTCACTACAACTGTTGCTAAACCACCATCATTTTCAGTTAACCCAATGTTAGGGTCAGGAGGATTTGGAGATACTTTTGATTTTGATTCAACTGTTGACATTTTTAGCTGATATATTGCCTCCACCTGGACCCTCGCAAACTGCTTTTCCTTCTCAAAATGGTCAAGCATCTAGTCTTTCAGTAGAACCTAACCATACCACATTTCCTTCAAGTTTTTCAACTCCATTTGGCCAACCACCTACTTTTTCATCACAAGGTCAAGCTGGTCAACCTTTTCAACCTCAAGCTGCCCAATATATGCAACACCCAGCTTTTCCACCTCAAGGTGTCCAGCAGCAGCAGCCTATGCCACAGTTAGCTTTTCAACTTCTAGGTGGACACCAATCTATGCCACAGTCAGCTTCTCAACTTCCAGGTGTCCAGCAGCAGCAACAGTTGCCACAGTCAGCTTTTCAAAGAGATCTCTTACTCTTTACGTATAGCCAGCATGAATATTAATGTAGCATATGAATTTTAAATAGCAGTACCTGCTCCACATTATTAAATTACTAGAAATGACATGGAGCATTATGAAGTGGGGCCTCACATATTGCAATTCAAAATGTGTTTGTGGGATACAAAGCCTAGATAGAATTGCTTGCAATTTAGTCTATCATTAGAATATTTTTTTAAAGTTATAAATCTCGAGAACAGAGCTGACATAAAATCATAAACAAATATATATAGTCATCCTTCCTGCCAAAGAGTTACCTTTAAGTACATTAGACCCAAAGCAATTATAGCCCCAAGTCCTGTTACATCTATATTGATCTGGGTTCCATCCATCATCTAAAAACAACAGAAAACAAAAACAGAAAATTAATGAAAAAGATAGAAAGGGTAATCAACTTTCTAAAAAAACAAGTAAAAAGCACAACCTGCCCCGAACCACGATTGTGGTCATCCATTGATCCGTTGGAGAGATGGGATCTTTCCTGAGAAAAGGCAATTTAACAAAAAAAAAAGTCATCTACATGAAATATTAATTCTAGTCATCTTTAAAGTGTAGGGTGTGTGTGTGCGTGTGTGGAAAAGATACCTGGACTAGGGTGGATGCGATCAGCCTACCGCCTACTGTTTTGCTGAATGTAACCCCAACAAACATATGATATTAATTCTCCACTGAAATTGAAACAAGAGAAGAAAATATTTACATTAGGAAAAAGAATAATCACTGCATTATAACAATGGAGAACACAACCTTAAGCATGTATTTTGCTCGATGGAGCCTTCATTGTTAAAGGAAGCTTGCAGATACCCTACAATAGAGATATTTTTGAAACATAAGAAAATTATAGGCATATTAAACATGGTTGTTGAAGGGATCCATAGGCGTTTGGAACAATAATCATATCCCCTAACCTGCCAAATAAATCTTTTCCCATCTGTGTCGACATAAAAATTTGAGTATAAACGACAACATATGTATATAATCAATAGTGTTCATAATGATATTAAGCAACAAAATTTATCTATCAGATAGCTTAGAATGGGACATACCATCAACATAGAAATCAAGAATCCTCGAATCATCAGTTGTCATGAGTGACTGATATGAAGGTGGAAGTGCACGGGCACTACAAGAGCACAAATTAGATAAGATCATGAAAAAAACCAGATCAATCAATGTAACCAACTTTATAAAAAAGAAATTTAAGAACATAATTAGTTTCACCCATACCTAGTTTCACCTAACAAAATTTAGTTTAACTATTGCTTAGTTGTGATAATCTACAGCCTGAAAAGAAGGAATGCTCACAAGAACGATCCTTAATACCATCTCCAACAAATTAAGAAAAAGAATCCATACAGGCTTGCCTTGTATGCATTCGAGTGCAAGGCGTGATTAGGTACCATATCACTTGGTCTTGTGTACATCAATTAATGTTATAAGGTATGAATTAGGTAAGATTCTTCTTTTAAGCATTTCTTCGAACACTTGGAGTGCATAGCTCATCTCCTTCCTTTTCTGCAAGTTCCTAGAATCTAGGGTTTAATATTCTATTCTCAAAACATATGTTCAATATTATCAATACAAGCAGAAAGTAAAGAGACCACAAGAACATAGAAAACTACCTGCTTACTTTTTTTGAAAGAGCAAAGGATCGAGAATTTTAAGGTAAGGATGATGACGATGCGCTGGCTGTGAGCATATGCGAGCAATATAAACAGGAAAATGAAGGCTGAGAAATTAAATCTAGCTAGTGTTTGCAAACACATTTGAACCTTAAAATTGATTTCAGGGGCAATCTTGCGAGGATTTCGAGAAGGAGAGACTCAGTGAGGTTTTGAATATCGTATGAGAACGTATGAGCAAGGAGAACAAGCCCTAGAACTGATGATTCCGAAAGAGGGTTTACTTGTGTTGAATCGATTAGTGTGATTACCTGAGATTGAGAGTGTTTTCTCTTTCTTGAATAGGTGATGATCTGATAACGGTGGCTTGGAAATGAGTTCTGATCACCATCATCGTCGATGTGATTGCCGATTTGATTGATTGAATTGTTGGGTTCCATTTAACGGTGGTTTGAGGTTGGAAATGGAAATGGAAAGAGCGCCGCCGAGGAGATTGGGGAGCAAAAGAAGAGAGAATTAGAGATGTTCGAAGTGTGGATTGAGTTTTTAGGGTTCAATTTCAACTCAATTAGTAAAGATTCCAAAACGATTACACCTCCCTGTACCCCACTCAATAATCAAAACCATTGAAATTATTGAGTTTTGTATGAACTTTTCTCATGAATGATGTTCACGTCGTCGGCTCCAAAGCGCCATAATCATGCCGAGATCCACAATCATATACGTTTGTTGTTTACAAATCTGTTGTTGAACCCTGAATAATCGACTAAGGTATTCCCACCGTTGAAGATGAAGATGAAGGACCTAGGGCTTTTTCTTGCTAAGTAGAAGAGGCGGGGGATTAATTTTTGGGATACAATAGGCGCGGGTAATTTTAGTCGATTTCATTTCCCGCCTAAAACGCGTGTTTCACTTAAAAATTATAAAGCGACACACTTACATGACGCACAATTTATGAAAGGCACCCTCCGCATTTTTTTTTCTTTTCTAACACTAATTTTACGGCGCGCACAAATACGTGCCCTCTATCCTTCAAATTTTGCAAAACTGACATTATTTTTAGGGCACTTACAAATGCGCGTCCTCTATCAGCGAGTGTCATTGTTTGCGCATCATTAAAGGGCTTTTTTCTTGTAGTGATTTAAACACTTTTCATCACTTTTTGGTTGATAAATTTCTATTTTATTCGACTTTCATCTCTCATATATATACATGGAAATATATCATTTTCATCCTTCACAACCGACCCATGTTTCAATTTGGAAATCTATCGCTCTCATCACTTCCAACTGTAACATACACATTCAGTTATCATTTCAGCCACTATAAATAGAAAGCAAAGCCTTTGGGTTTTTGTTTAGGAAATCTATTCTCTCTATCTACTTCTTCTCTAGCTACTTTTAACCCCCCGAGGTCCCGGTATCATCCCTGACACCGAAAGCAAATCCCGACGCTCCGAAGTTCCCGAGAAAATCATATATATTTTCAAGTCGAAACTTTGCCCGCGTAAGGCCGATTTTCAACTAAAATCCTTGTTTTCATCACAGAAAGTCATATTTAGAGTCGAAGTGCTGCTCAAATTAATACTTTAATCCCCGATTATTTCACGACGAGTTCAATATATAGGAAAAATTGTATGTTATGTGTTATATGTGCTATGTGCTTTTCCGTATTGTTATTCTATGCTATTATGGTAGCAAAGTTGTACCTTTGACCATGTGATCAGTGGAAGGACTTAGATTCACAGTGTTATTGGTATGTAGCCTCTGGCCGTGTAGAGCATCTCTCGTAAGAGAATGACTTCTACCCCTATGGCATTGGCAGAAGGTTAGATAGGGCTAAAAGCCTGAAATCTACCAAAATGTTTAAATCAAAAAGTGTATGTCTTTTGTGCCATTTGGGCCGAAGCTTTATTGATGTATATCAAGTATTGAAATTGTTATATCTCATTGATTGATACGGAGAGCTTGTCACATGATTCACATATGTCTTTGTTGCTCCTAGTTCCTATTTGCTTCTGCCATATTGAAGTATATATATGGCATAACGTTATACTGTATATATTATTAAACTCACTAAGCATCAGCGCTTACCCCTCTCAGTGTTTAACAATTGCAGGTAATAAGAATCCAGTATAGTCATATACTGATAGAAGATTTTGAATAGTTAAAACTATTACTTTTGTATTTGTACACATGTATGTATAAAACTACGATATCCTGGGTAGTTATGTAATATATAACACTTTATAATAGTCTAAATAGTCTTTGTATCTAGTCTTTTGTAATCAAATTATCAATGTAAAATATTATTTATGAATATGCATGTAGCATGTTTTGGTTTAATTTGGAGTAACAATGTCTCAAGTATGAATGTGTGGGTATTTCAGAATTAATGGTATCAGAACAGTAGTTTAAGCGAACTAAATTCCACGGATTGATATTTAGACTTAAACTATTGGAAGTTCAATATATGAACGAATTCGTTTTAAGTATATGGATACAAACCATAGGAAAGACTTAAGTAAAGTATTAGGTAATGATAAATCATAATATTCTAAAATACTATGTTACCCCAATTTTTTAGAGTAATTGTTGAACAGGTGAGTAGCGATACGCCAGAGGTGGGTGGAGATCCTCATCCTGATGAAGGAGATACTCCAGTATTCCCTCATGAGAAGCGACTCATGGATAAACTTACTGGTGTTATTCGACAGACTCTCGAAGAACATAAAAAGAATAATGATAAAGACAAAGAGAAGGTTACTAGAGAATCTTCTAAAGGGGAGGTGAAACGTCCTTCATTAAAAACTTTAAAGAGAAATGGGGCTGTGACAACCCAAAATTTTTATTTGTATAAACTCCGCAATCAAGCACATCAAAAATTAGCCAAATTTATCTCAAAATATTTTTGGCCAGTTTTAAGCCTGTTGGAATATTTTAAATAATATTCGTTAAGCGAACCAAAAATAAGGAAGTATAATTTAGAGTTGCCGTGTTTAACGTAAGTCGTGAAACACCAAAAATTTGGAGTTTATGGGAGAAAACTCGGAGTATACAACCGCAAACCCCCGAGACTATATATATGGCACTTAGCCATTTTCCCTCACTTTTCCATTCCAAGCTAGAGAAAACCCAATTTCTCTCCCAAGGATCGTCAAGCTTTCGTCCCCAACCCTCACATACGTAAGTTATTCTATCCTAGAGTACATTAAGGCTTGTTATACTTCCATGTATCAAGAAATCACCCAAGAAACATCAAGAACAAGGTGTTTACGGTCCAAGGTGTTCTTGGACCGTAAACCCTATGATGGGTGCCAAAGTGTGCCTTGGTCCATTCTAAGCCTTAACAACTAGAATAGATCCTTTCCTTGATAAGTTTAGCACTTGAAAACACCGAAAATCCCTCAAGAACATGAGTTTACGGTTTGGGGACCTCCCAAAACCATAAACAACTCCCAAAGGGTGTTTTGATGCCCTTATCATCTTATATGGCTTGCATATGGGACTAGAACTTTGCATTCTGAACCTAGAACCACCATGACACAAGAAAAATGGACAAACATGAGTTTACGGATGTAAACTCATGTGTTTACAACTGTAAACTCCCAAGGAGTGGTCCAAGGACCGTAAACTCTATAAAGTGTCCATTTTGAGCCCTAGTCACTTCCATAGCCCTTGATTCGAGTCTAGCATAACTCCTTGAGTGAGATAAGACCTTGAAACACCCCATGACACCACTACCATGAGTTTACAGCCGTAAACTCATGGGGTTTATGGTCCAGAAACCGTAAACACCCCTAAGGGCCACCATTTGAGGAGTAAACTCCAATGTGAGGACATACTCTCTTTATATGCAAACCTCGGTACTCCTAGCACTTGTGGTAAAGTGTTTCCATGCTTTAGAATGTCCTTACTTGCATAATTGGTTGTTAAATGACTAATCAGATACTTAAATGTATCGTTACTTGTCAAATAGGATTCAAGTGTGTGTTCAAGTCCTCAATTGACACATAGCATCCTATATCGTCCGTCCATCCGAATTACCCACGCCAAGTGAGTTCATACCCCTGAATTAACCTTTTTAAATGATTTTCACTGCTTTTATGGGGGGGGGGGGAATACAAGTTGAACTATACAATTATTAGATAAATCACATGTGATTAATAACTGTATAGCAAAATAGATTTTGCTTGTCAAACTGCTCTATTCAGTTGAAGGTTTTCAAATCTCGTTTTCAGATCTTGTTTTAAAGTATAAATTTCTCTTTTAGATTATCAAAGGTTTTCCAAAGGTTTTCAAGGCTTGTTTTATAAACTGACATCAAGTCATAACTTCTTAATTGTAAAGTTTTCCAAAGGTTTTACCAAAGCTTCTTTTATACTTTTATATTGTTATATGCATGAATTTATATGTATAGTTATATAAGTAATGTTTAAAGGACTTAGGAAGGCTAACCCTCTGAAATTCCTTTTCCTCGTTTGGATGTGGTTTAAGGTTTCGGTTATCCGTCCGAAGATCATTTAAATATTAGTTATATGTCATGTATATGTATATGGTCATAAAAGCTCTCTCATCTAGTTCATCTCCTTTGGGTAGCAAAGGCATCCTTCCATTATTCATATTTCTAGCACCCTAGTAACTATTATAGGAGTAGTTAGGAGATTCTATTTACTCTTTCTAGTACGAAGAATTCCAAAAGATTCAGTTCATTCGTGAGTCTATACTAGTACTATATTACTTTAAATAGAATGTGACACACTATTTCTCGATACGACGTTTCATAGCGCCATCGCCGTGTAACCAAAGTCTCCTGGAGGGAGAGCGAACATCATGTGTATAGATCTATATGGGACAGACACGCCCACACCCTGACTGCTAGCTACAGTCCGAGACAGTAAGGCCCATGGGTGACATAATGTCAGTAACTCTACGCGTGACCTAGAGGGTCATCAGATACTCTATCGTCGATCAGCATGGTTACATACGAGTTCACATTCAACTCTTCACCTTTAGACTGAGCCAAGTGTATCATTCATTCGATACCCTCCTGGAGTCTATGTTTTATTAGCCAGGCATATCGTTCATTCGATACCCTCCTGGAGTCTATGTTTTATTCACCTTTAGACTGATCCAGGCGTATCGTTCATTCGATACCCTCTTGGAGTCTATGTTTTATTCACCTTTAGACTGAGCCAGGCGTATTGTTCATTCGATACCCTCCTGGAGTCTATGTTTTATTCACCTTTAGACTGAGCCAGGTGTATTGTTCATTCAATACCCTCCTGGAGTCTATGTTTCATTTGCTTTAAGCCAGCAGTATTACTGCTGAGGTATATATTATTTTCCCCTATTACTTTTACTTGTGATTTTCTCCCAATCCCTTTAAAGTAAAAACTATATTTTGGTAATGATAGTATTTTGGGGAAATTACTCCTTAA